CAGGCCCACTTACTGTGGTGCCATCCACTGCCACATATACTTTGCTGCGGCTTGAGTACACCTCCACATCCAGGACTCGCCGGGGTCCACTGCCTCTGCGCCGTGGGGGCTCCAGGCGGCCGAGGGTATCATCTATGGGGGTGCAACAAGTCATGGGCATAGTCTCCCCCTTGGGATCTGCCTGCCACTCTTGCCCTGAGATCCCAGGGGTCCCCCCTTCCCCACCCTCAGCCTGGCCCCACCGTAGTCTTGCTCTGGCTCCAGGTCTTCACTAGCTTCGCTGATTGCTCGCCGAGTGTCCAAGATCAACTTGATGTTGACAATGACAGTCACCAGCAGGAAAAGCACGGCCCCTGTCTGAGGGAGAGGCGGGATGAGTGAGGCACATCTCCTCCAGATCATATAGGGTCTTCCTTAAAGGAAGGCCTTGGCAACAGTGAGGACACAGTTAGAACCTGGGATCCTTCTCTTCCTCTGCCTACTCGTCTCCTGGACCAGAGCCTGGTTTCATTGCCACCTCCTCCAGGAAACCTCACCTGACTCTTTCCCCTTGTCAGGGCCCTCCCTACCCAGTGTTCTTGTGTTCCTCCATTTGAGGACTTGATTTTCTTGGTCCCCTCCACAATTAGTTCCTGGAGATGGAGTCAGGCCCAGAGAACCAAGTTGGAAATCAAGAGACCTTGATCCTAGCCCTAACTTCTTGACAGGACATATATGTCCCTGGACAAAGCCTTCCTGATCAGACTTCAGGTTTCTGTCAGAAGCCTAGAAGGTTGGATTTGGGTTCCAATTCCAGAACTCTAGGTCTAAACCACTGCTGGTAGGGGCATGACACATAGAGGTTTCCCCTCTATGAACTTGCTGCTCCTTTCTGGTTGGAGGTGGCTATGATGAAGTATAATAGTCCAGGCTAGGGTAAACCTGGGAGGAACATTTGGGACATCTCTTTACCTGACAAAATCTCCGCAGGGTCCGCTGATTTGTCAGTTTATACTTCCAGGTAAGATACCAGCTTCGCTTCTTCCTAGCCCCAAAGGGCTTGATGAGGGGGCTGGGCTTCCAGTCATCCATACCGGATTTGGGAGTCACCACTGTCCCGGCCAATCCATGACTTCAGGAATCTGAGGGGACCAGAGGGTCACATGGAGTAAGGGTCACATGGAGTAAGGTGCTCCTCCCAAAAGTCTGATGCCTTCTGGAGAAATGAGGATCTCCCAGCAACTCCTCCCTGCAAACATCCATGCTGTGTGACCTGGGGAAAGTGGCTCAACTTCTCTGGGCCTGGCAGGAAAACATTCAGAGGGTTTGGATCACCTGGAAATTCCCTGGGGCTGGGGAAACTATCTGAGTCAGGACTGCTCAGGGCTCCAGGGGTAGAGGCCAAATAATTGACTCTAAAGGTTCATCAGCCTCTAAAAGTCCTTCCCAATCCTCTGGTGGGCAAAGAACAGCGACTTTCCCCGCCCCAATCCTCCACCCTCGTCCCATTCCATCTGGCCCGGTTCTTCTCCTCCCAGGGATCAGAGAGGCCCGAAGGCTCGGGAGACCTGCCCTGGCCGCACCACCCCTCCTGGACCCCAGCCTAGAGGCACTCACCGCTCAGGGGCCCCGGGCCCCGCTCGGGCGCCCTTCGGGCCCGCACGGTTCAGCCCCGCTCACCGCGGCCTCCGCCTCCTCCATGCCGCTCGCGGCCCGGCCCCGCCCCGCCCCGGCCGGCCCGCCCCCCCGCTTCCGCCGCCGCCGCCGCCGCCGCCGCCGCCGCCGCCGCCGCCGCGGGGTGAGAGGGCGGCGGGCGGTGCTTAGGGCGGTGGCCGCAGCCGGGCGTCTGCAGCCTGCGAGGAGGGGTGATGCTCAGACCCTCGTTCGCAGCTCCGCAAACCCGCGAGCCAGTGGGCTGCTGGCCCAGAGCAGCCCGCACCCGGCCTTGCCGAGGGCACCTGATTCCTGTGCGAGTCCCTGCACCTTAGACCAGATAACTCTGCACTCAGGGTTAGGGGGGCTCTGCGGGATCGCACGCTGCTCATCCGCCTGAGCCCTTCCTGGGCAAGGCTATTACCCAGGCCTAGGGCATGCACAGCCTTTGGAGCGAAGAGGGATTAAAACCCAGGTTCTACTACTGTTCTGAGCACTTTACTTATATTAACTCATTCAATTCCACGACTCATGAGGTGGGCACTATTACTTCCCCCATCTTAGGTTAAGAAAATGAAGCCCAGTTTCACAAAATTAGGAGAGCTGGTATTGAAACCCAGGCGGTCTAGCTCCGGATTCTGTTCTTAACTACTGCACCATACTGGCTCTAGTAATATAGAGTTGTGAAGTTGGAGATAATATACATAAAATGCTTAGTTTAACACAGTGGTTCTCAAACTTCAGCTTGCATCAGAATCACTTAGAGGGGTCCTGGGGTTGTGGCTCAGTGGTAGCGCACTTGCCTAGCATGTGTGAGGCAGTGGGTTCGATCTCAGCACCACATATAAATAAATAAAATAAAAATCCATCAACAGCTTAAAAAAAAAATCATTTAGAGGGTTTGTTAAAACACAGAAAATTAGTTTCTCTCTCATCCCTACAGTTTTAGATTCATTCTGGGATAGGTTGGGATTTTTTTTTTTTAACCTTTACTTTATTTATTTGTTTATTTATTTATGTGGTGCTGAGGATCGAACCCAGGGCCTCACATGTGCTAGGAAAGTGCAGGTTGCCCTACCAGACCGGCATATTTTTGCATTTCTAACAAGATTCTAGGTGCTGTTGATACTTGTTTGAAGTGATTGGGAAACCATGGAACCATTTTAGGCAGGAGAGTCAGAGAATCTGATTTATATTTTAAGAGAACCTTTACTGTTTTGTGGAGAATGAATTGAAAGGAGACAGAAAACAGAACACCAGATATTTTTTTGAGCTCTCCCTGTTCCATCTGCCTCCTGCATATTGGTGTAGTACCCCCAAAATATTAACAGTGCTTGTTTTAGGAGTTGAGGCAATAGGTGATTTTTCCTAATGAGTATGTATTAAAATATAAGAAAACCCAACACATTTTATCAATATTTTTAAAGTGYCCTTAAATTGGGCGTGGTGGTGCACACTTGTAATCCCAGCTATTCAGGCAGGAGGATGGCAAATTCAAGGCCTGTTGGTGCAATTTAGTGAGATCCTATCAAAAGGTGGGTGTGTGGGTATATAGGCTGGGGATGTAGCTCTGTGTTAGATCACTTGCCCATTATGTGGCAGGCTCTGGGTGCCCCAGTACTAAATAAATAAATGTAATCAGTCACTTAGTCTGGTCAGTCTTATCTCCTAAAGAGTTCTCTATTCTGGTTCTTCAATTCTTCTCCAGCTTCACAACCAGACCCTGGTCCAAGTGGTTAGTTTCTTGTCTTCCAATAAGTTCTTGACTCCATATTTTTACCACTCCAATCCTTTCTTCTTGCAAAATCCAGAGGAATTTTTCAAAAAGGCAAATATTCTATCTTTTGCTTAAAACTTTTCATGGATCAAAAAAATACTAAGGAAAAATATGTTACAAAGATAAATTACAAAATAAATTACAAAGATAACCATTAGATAAACTAGAAATGATGAAAATAAATAGTGCCAATGTCAGAAGGGAAGTAGAATTAAATCCATATATTCGAATTTATCTTTTTCCCCCCCTCTGGTACTGGGGATTGAGTCTTGGGGTGCTCTACCACTGAGCCACATCTCTACCCTTTTCATTTTGAGACAAGGTCTCACTAAGTTACTGAGACTAGGAGATGGTCTTGCTAAAGTGCTAAGGCTGCTCTTGAACTTGTGATTCTCCTGCCTCAGGCTCTGGAATAGCTATGATTATAGGCTGCACCACCACTCCTGGCATTCATATTTATTTTATAGGAAGTCAGTAGACCGTGTTTAAAATTAAGTAGTGATATAAGTCTGTTACTTAGAATTATGGGTGTAAGCACCAGGAAAAAAAATAAAAAAGAAAGTGGTTGCCTCTGAGAAGAGGGAAAAAAGATGGGAAGGGGCAGGCAGGTCAAAGCTCTTTATTTATTCATTTATTTATTTGTTTAGAGACAGGACCTCTCACTAAATTGCTGAGAGTGTTCCTAAAATTGCTGTAGCTGTCCTCAGATTGAAGATCCTCCTACCTCAGTCTCTGGAATTGCTGAGATTACAGGCATAGGCCACTTCAACTGGCAGTAGTTGTCTTTTCATTGTAAATCCTCCTATAACCATGGGCTGGAATGACTTGGATTAAAAGCTGAAACAAAACAAAACAAAGTTTTTCATGGCTCCTCACTGCCTGTAAAATAAAGTCCAAACACCTTGGTATTCAGGAGTGTGGCACTCAGACCAGGAGGATGGCCATCACCTGGGAGCTTGTTAAAAATGCACAATCTCAGGCCCAGCCCCAAATTCATAGAATCAATCTGCTTAATATTTATCTAATTAATTAACTATTTTATGTGTTGTCAGAAGTAGAACTCCTGTGCTCAAGTGACCAATCCTACTATCTCAGCCTCAGAGTAGCTGGGACTACAGGCCAGTGCCACAGGACCCAGAAGACCTGCATCTTAACAAGTCGGTAGATGATTCATACTCAGAGTGAAGCTTAGGCAGCATCTTGTTGGTAAGCGGATGCAGGGTGAAACCCTTCAGCTTTAATACAGGTTGCTCTCCACTGGTCTGAATTTTAGCCAATGAAAGGAGAGTGTGTGTGAGTGGTTAGCTAAATTCTAACCCCTTTTTAGACCCAGCTCATTTACTCCAGTAAGCTTTCCAGATCTCTATAGCTGTTACCACGATCCTTTAAACTCCTGTATCTATTTGAGGTTGTTTAGTCTTAATTCTGCAAACACTTGTTGGGCACCTATTGTGGGCCTAGCTGGACTCAGTGCTAAGGTGAGGAGTAGAGCTGAGCTCTTAGCGCTCCTTAGGACCAAATCCAGGATCGCCCAGCCCCAGCTATCCAGGGCCAGAGGTTGCGTGCGCAGCACTCGAATATATATCTACCCCCGGCTCCGCGCGGCTTTTCTGAGTGTTACGGCGCCCTCCTCCCGCCCCTGCGCCGCGCGGGCGGGGACCCACCGGTTCCGCTCGGTAATAGCCGGCGGAAAAAGAGGACCCCCGGGAGCGGACCCCGGCGTCTGGCTTCCCAGCCCGGTTCAGGCTTGGGCGCGCATGGAGGGGACCGTGGAGTTCCAGACACCTGACCTGCGAGACGTGGAGGGCAAGGTGGGCAGGAAGACCCCTGAAGGGCTGCTCCGCGGGCTGCGAGGCGAGTGGGAGCCCGGAACCTCTGATGCGCTGTTGCTCCCGGGGGCGACCAGCAGAAGCCCCGGCCTGGGGGACAAGATCATGGCGCTAAGGATGGAGCTGGTGAGTGGGGACACCACAGGCCAGGAGGACGGAGTCCCTAGGGTCGAGAGGAACCTACTCTCGTCCCCAGAGTTAGACTGGAAAGGAAGGAGTTAAAAACTCGGCACTTAACTCCTCGGGATCCCTCCTAGATCAGTCCATAAATTCACACTGGGGTGGAGGCAGAGTGACGTCCATTAATTGTCCCCCAAGGATGAGTGGAGTGTTTGATGAGTCCTGAGGACTGTGGGTAGTTTTTCCTACCAAATTATTTAGGAGAGGAAAGGAAAGGGCTGGGAACTACTCAGAACCTAGCTCTTCAAATTCGGTCCCCTCCCCATAGGGGCCACCTATTCTCCCAGCCCCCATTTAARGCAACCAGGTATTTTCTCCTCTTACAAACTGGGAAAGGGTTTGGCTCCTTTGCGGCCTGGAGTGTTTGTGAAAATATTCGGCACAGAAGAAATTTGGGTAAGAGTATATCTCCCCTGCCCTCTTCAGACTGCCTGGATTAGGGGCACTGAAAACATCGCCCTTTCCTTAACATCTCTCCAGCTGCACTTAAAATACTTGAAATTTCTAGGGCCATAGCAGAGAAAGTGCTTCACTTGGACTCAGTTGCCTCCYCTGCAATCTAGGATACTGGATATTTGGATCTCATCTATACCTTCTTGGGAGGAAGAGGAAACACCAGTCCTCCCCTGTCTCCTGGAGTTGCAGGTCTAGATTCAGAGCCAAGAGGGCAGCTGGGGCCCCAGCATGCTCCCCAAGGATCTGGTTCTGGTGAAGGAGGCGTGATTTACACCTGCTACCACTTTGCAGCCAGTTCTGAGGAACTGAAGAATTGCCAGCTGAATCCTGGCCCAGAACCAGGAGTCCAGAGTGAACCTAATAAGTCTTCCTGGAGCCCCACTGTGTGCCAGCTCTGCCAAACTGYTCTGGGAGGGAGCAGAGGGAGGAGGTCTTCCCAGAGCTCTCAGATCAGCCAGGACTCTGACCTGCTGGGAGAAAACAAGCTAGGAGATTCTGGTGGGTGGAGCAGTCAGGAGTTCCCTGGGGGCAGGACTTGGATGCCTAGTGTGCACTTGCCCTTGAAGGTTGGAGGTGAGTGCCTGATTCTCCAGAGCTGGACTTGACTGTAACCACCTCAAGGAATGCCCAGCTTTGCCTCATTGTTGTACAAACTTTAGCTCAAGGTCCAGAAAGAGCCTACCTAGTTTGCCCTGCTTTGAAAACTTTTACCAAGTTCATATGCTAGGTACTAAGCATCCTGCTGAACACCTTCCATGRTGATCTCTCTTTATTTTTATTTTTTGGTACCTGGGGATTGAACACAGGGGCTCTTTACCACTGAGCTACATCCTCCTGCCCTTTTTATTTTGTTACAGGGTCTGTCTAAGTTGCTTAGGGCCTTGCTAAATTGCTGAAGCGGGTCTCAAACTTGGAATCATCCTGCCTTGGCCTCCCAAATTGCTATGACACCACTCCCGGCTTTTTATTTATTTATTTATTTTTGCCATACAGGGATTAAACCCAGGGCTTTACATATGCAAGGCAAGTACTCTACTACTGAGCTACATCYCCATCCTATATATTTATAGATGGACACAATACCTTTATTTTATTTGTTTTAAAATTTTTTTTTAGTTGTAGATGGACACAATACCYATATTTTGGGCTGGGGATGTGTGGCTCAAGAGGTAGCGTGCTCTCCTGGCTTGTGTACAGAACCACATACAAACAAAGTACCACTTACAAACAAAGATGTTGTGTTCGCCGAAAACCAGAAAAATAAAATAAAATATTAAAAATTCTCTCTTTAAAAAAAAACTATTTTGAATTTACTTATTATTTTGTGTTTTATGTGGTGCTGAGGATTGAACCTAGTGCCTCACACATGCAAGACAAGTGCTCTGCCTTTGAGCCACAACCCTGCCCTTATTTATTTATTTATTTTTATTTATTTTTATTTTTAGAGAGAGAGAATTTTTTAATATTTTTCACTTTTTGGTGGACACAACATAGTTATTTTATTTTTATTTGGTGCTGAGGATCGAACCCAGCACCCCGCACATGCCAGGCGAGCGTGTTACTGCTTGAGCCACATCCCCAGCCTCTATTTATTTTTTAATGTGGTGCTGAGAATTGAACACAGTGCCTTACACATGCTAGATAAGCACTCTACCACTGACCCACAACCTCAGCCCCCCCCCAACCGTTTTTATTTATTTATTTATTTTTTGTTTTATTCTTATTATTTTTGTGGTGCTGGGGATTGAACTCGCATATAAGACAAGCACTCTACCAACTGAACTATATCCCCAGCCCCCTTTTTATTTTTTAATTTTGAGTCAGGGTCTTGCCAAGGTTCCCAGGCTGGCTTGGAACTTGTGACCCTTAGCCTCCTGAGTAGCTACAATTACAGACCTGTGCCACTTCATCTGGTTTACATGATATTCTCTCAAATCTTCACAGCAACCTTGTTAGATAAGTGATATTTTATAGAGGAGGCAAGAGAGGTTAAGTAATTGCCCAAAGTCATGCAAAAAATAAAAAGCAAAGTCAGGATTTGAACCAACATCACCTGACCACATTTTATATCTTTACCATTGAGACCTGCCTTGTACCAGATATTTTAAGCCTGTCTTGTGTTATTGAAATGAGGAAAGTGATGTTTTCCCGTACTTGGAGATATTTAAGGGCTTGCCYGAACTCACACAGGGCATCTGGAACCACACCTAATTTCTCTGGTTCTCTTTTCCGACTTGCTGGGGACTACCAGATTATGAACTTTAAGGTGGTACATTTAACTTCTGAATTTGTCTCTCTGCATTTTTGACTCACCTGGCATGGGGCCTAAGACTGCCCACGGTTGGGGAGGGGAGAGAACCTTTTGGGGGCTAGAATAAGGGACCCCCTAGCCCATTCTTTTCTTCTTCCCTCAGGCCAGGAGGTCATTAATCTCTTAAGGCATTCTGCCCTGCCCACTGGTTATAACCAGGAAGGACAAGGGGAAGAGMAGGGGATTTCCCTTGGCCTCACTGGAGGCAGAACAGGTCCAAGCCCTTTAAAAACTGTCCTTCAATTGCCCCTCTCCCTGCTTTCCTTTTTGGGAGGGGCCAGTCCTGCCCTTGAGGCCAAGGTCAGCTCTGCCTATTGGCTTCCCCACTCCTGCTTAGCTCCACTAGGCAGAGGCTGAGTGAAGAGCTAGAGTCTGGAATTTGTRGGTATGGGAAACAATGGCAAACTCCCCTCCTCACTTCTCCCACCCAAATAACTGTTGTTATGACAACCCACCTCCAAAGAGCAGTTTGTGGAAAAGCTTCAGGCAAGGAAGGGGAAGACATAGGTTCAAGTCTAGATTCTGCTTCTGAATCATTTTGTGATCTTGAGCCAGGCCCTCTCTCTCTCAGGGCCTTAGTATTTCTGTCTCTTGGAGGGGGAAGTAAGGGAGAATTGTGAAACTAAATGATTTGCAAGAGCCTTTCTAGTAACAATAGTCTGAGAATCTCAATTCACCACCTAGGAGCTAAAATTGGTACTGAGCAATGAGGGAGCCTACCTGGGACCCTGGGCCTGGGCAGAAAGTCTGATATGCATATGGGGAGGAGTTGGGAGACTTGAATTCCCCCAGGGAGAGAATGGGTTAGGGTTGCCTCTAAGACTGCATCTCTCCTGAGCTGTTATTCCCTGCTTTGTTTCCAAAGAGATGGTATGAAATAACTGTTTCTTTTTCTGGCGAGAAAGCCTTGCTTTTTTCTATTTTGRGGAGTGATGCTATCACAGTCAGGGAATCCCACTGTCACAGGATTATAGAATCTGATCCTCTGATTCATTTCACAGCCACACAGTACCACCTAGTTCCCTGAATTCTGGGGACCACCAGAAGGGCCAGATAGTAAAGGAAAGAGAATCACAGAACTGAGTGTGACCTACCCAACACTAGGGAGAGCGCCAGAAACAATTGAGCAGGATTTGTTCTCAAAGAGCTCACAATCTGGGTTAGGGAAGGAGGGGACAACTCTAGTACAGGATGAGAAGTGCTGTTGGAACCCTGGGGGGCCTCCTGGGAGTCTGGATCATGAAGTAACATAGTTGGATTACTGCCACTTGGAATTGGAGGGGATATATCCTGAAGTTGGAATGCTTCTCTCCTCCTCTTTGTCTGGCTAAGTCCTACTTCATCCCTAACCTTCAAGTCTCATCTGATATCCATTATCTAGGAAGCATTTCTGGCCTCCCTGAATTGGGTTATGGTATTAACCTAGGTACTCATAGTCCTCTGTGCCACAGTTGTTTCCTCTAGCATTTGTCACTTAATTTGGGGGTGGAGGGGCAGGGTACTGGGGATTAAATCCACTCTACCTTTGAGCTACATTGCTAGCTCTTTTTATTTTAATTTTCTCAATTTTGAGACAGGATCTCACTAAATTGCTGAGGCTGGTCTCAAACTTCTGATCCTCCTGCCTCAGCCTCCTGAGTCCCTGGGATTACAGGCATGTACCATCATGCCCAGCTTGTCACACTGAATTTTAAGGACTTGCTTTATTGTCTTATCTAACCCACAAGACTGAACCCTCTGAGGTCAAGAAATGGTGGCTTTTCTCCTTTGTCTAACACAGTGCCACGCCTGTAAGAAACATTCAATAAATATTTGTCCTGTGACAGATTAATTTTATCTTGAGAAAGGGCAAGGAAAACTTCCCAAGGAAGAAAGCATTTGAGATAGTCCCTGAAGACTGAACAAGGGCTGTGGGAATTTAGTTTAGGAGGGCAGACTCAACCCATTCACTTACCTTCACTGCTTTCTGAAATTCTATTAAAAACCAATAGAAAGATTATTATATTTTTTTAAGAGAGAGAGAGAAAGAGAGAATTTTTTAAATATTTATTTTTTAGTTTTCAGTGGACACAACATCTTTATTTTATTTTATGTGGTGCTGAGGATAGAACCCAGCGCCCCGCGCATGCCAGGCGAGCACACTACCGCTTGAGCCACATCCCCAGCCCAAGAAAGATTATTTTAAAAGGCATGAGGCAGGTGGCTCAGTGGTAGAGCATTTGCCTGGCATGTGTGAGGCACTGGGTTTGATTCTCAGCACCACATATAAATAAAATAAAATCCAGTGTCAAATAAAAACTTTAAATAAATAAAAAAGGCCTGAGGCCATAATGACAATGAGAATAAAGGGAGAAGGTGATGGGAACAAAATTTTGGAAGCTGATAAGAAGAAGAAAAGTAGTAACTAACTCAGACCTCAAAAAAGCTGAATTCTAGGCGGGGCATGGTGGCACATGCCTGTAATCCCAGTGGCTCAGGAGGCTAAGGCAAGAGAATCACTAGTTCAAAGCCAGCCTCAGTAACAGCAAGGCACAAAGCAACTCATAAGACCCTGTCTCTAAATAAAATACAAAATAGGGCTGAGGATGTGGTTAGTGGTCGAGTGCCCCTGAGTTCAATCCCTGGTACCCCACCACCACCACCAAAAAAAAAAAGCTGAATTCTAAGCTAGCAGTAGGGCAAACTGAAAAGCAATGCATTTGCACTAAGAAATTCTCAAAGAATTGGTGCAGTGGTGCACAAGTATAATCCCAGTGACTCACTTGGGGAGGCAGAGGTAAGAGGGTCACAAATTRGAGGCCAGCCTGGACAACTTAGCAAGATTCTGTCTGAAAAAATTAAATGGTCTGGTGATATAGCTCAGTGCTCAGTGGTAAAGTGCTCAAGGGTTTAATCCCCAGTACCAAAACAAAAAGAAAAACTCTCAAAGTCTTGGAGTTAGATGCACCAGGTATTTCTGGAACTGAGAGCACAAGAGGTGCTGAAACCAAGAGGATTGCTTAAGTATCTGTTTAAGAATGATATTCTAAGATGGTGCTGAGGTACATACCTATAATCCCAGCTGCTTGGGAAACTGAGGCATGAATTCAATAATAAGCAATTATAATTGCCTCAGCAACTTAGCAAGGCACTAAGCAACTCAGTGAGACCCTGTCTCTAATAAAATACAGAAAGGGGCTGGGGATGTGGCTCAGAGGTTAAATGCCCCTGGGTTCAATCCTTAGTACCAAAAAAAAAAAAAAAAAAAAAAAAAAAGAATTTCTAAGATCCCTTCCCCTTCTCTCACTGTGTAACCAGGTTAATTACTCCTTTATCTAGCAGAGGTTGGAAATAGAAGAGTAGAATGGGAAGGAGGAAAGGGAGAAAGGCAGAAAGAATTGAAAGAGAAAACACAGCATGAGAAGTAGTTTTGGTATGAGGACTTTAAATTTTTTTATATTTTATATTCATTTAGGTGCTGGGATTGAATGTAGGGCCTCAGGCATTCTGTATAATRCCTGAACTACATCCCCAGCCTCTAGTGTGAGGACTTTTGTTTAATGCATTTAGTTTGGACTGTACCACTGAACTACATCCCCAGCCTCTAGGATGAGGACTTTTGTTTAATGCATTTAGTTTGGACTTGAATTAGAACTGTTATTTCACTGTTAATGTTTGTCCACGTTAGGAAAGAATTAAAGATAACCTCCATTATCTTATGTCTTTAATAGTCTGTATTATCTCATATCTCAGGTATTTATGCCTATCTCACCTTATTGGGACTATAAACTTCTCTCTCTCTTTCTCAACATTTTTTTTAAGTTGTACATGGGCACAATGCCTTTGTTTTATTTATTTTTTATTTTTATGTGGTGCTGAGGATCAAACCYAGTGCCTCACACGTGTGAGGCAACCACTCTACCCCTGAGCTACAACCCCAGCCCTAAAAACTTCTCTTAAGCAGTGGCAATGAGACCTTTAAAATGTAACACAGAAAATTAGAAGACAATGGAACAATGTCTTAAATCTCAAGGAAAAATTAATTTCAACCTAGAATTTTATATCCAGCCAAACTTACTGCTATAAGGCTAGAATAATAACATTTTAAAACATGTAAAGTTTCAACCTCTAGATGCATCCAGAGGGAGAGCACCACTCACCTGAATTAAGTAGTAAATCAAGAAAGAAGGGACTAGGGTTGTGTCTCAGCAGTAGAGCGCTYGCCTAGCATGTGCAGGGCGCTAGATTTGATCCTCAGCACCACATAAAAATAAAATAAAGATATTGTGTACATCTACAACTAAAGCAATTTTTTTTTTAAAAAAAGAAAGAATATATGGGTGGCATCTAAGAAATAAAGGATCCACCTTAGGAAAGGCAAAGGAAATCCCTAAGATGATAGTGAAGCAGAGACAGATTGAAGCAGATCAGAAGCCTTCTAAAGAGATACTACTCAGTTACTCAGGAGGCTGATGCAGGAGGATCACAAATTCCACACTAGCCTGGGTGTCTCAAAATAAAAAATGAAAAGGGTGATAGTTCAGTGGTAAAGCACTCCTAGGTTCAAGCCCCAGTACTGACTGTAAGGTGGGGTGAGATGCCTCTAGAAGATAGAATAGATAGATCATCTCATGTGATGTGTTTGAAAGCCTTGAAAGGGAAATTCAGATAATTGGGAAGAATCTGGGAATGATCTACTGGTAACTACATAGCAAACTAGGCAGTAAGTCTAAGCAAAGCATAGGTTGTAAGAAATAAAAAGTAACTGTTGTAAAGTACATAGCTTGGCTATAAATAGCATTTCAAAATCCTAATAAGGTAATTGTATTGCCTTTTGGGAAAATGAGGAGGTGGGAAGTATGTCTACATAGCAGAGGAGTGGGGAGTGGGTTAAAGTTAAATCCTTATAGTGTGGGAAGTCAATAGAAAAATGTTCAAAATTTAAAAATCAAAAAGTTGCAATAGAAGCATGTGATTTGGAGGCTAGGCTGAGGCAGAAGAATCACAAATTCCAGACCAGTCTCAGGAATTTAGGGAGGCCCTAAGCAACTTAGAGACCCTATCAAAAAAAAAGGGGGAGGGGGCTGGGGATGTAAGTGGTAAGTGCTCCTGGGTTTAATCCCCAGTACCAAAAATAAATCTTGTATAACTGTTTGCTTCCATGTAAGCATCTATTGATTTGACTAAAAGTGAAACTAAGGGCTGGGAATGTGGCTCATAGGGCTGGCCTAGCATGCGTGAGGTACTGGGTTCGATCCTCAGCACCCACATAAATATAAAATAAAGATATTGTGTCCACCTTTAACTAAAAAATAACTATTTAAAAAAATGAAACTAAATAAAACTAAAAAGTCATGTTGTGGCAGGACCTTGGGTCCATAGAGAAGTATGCCAGAGGTGAAACTAGAGAGATGGGCAAGAACCATATTACTATAGGCTTTTGAATGCCAGCCACTGAAGTGTTTAGATTTCATTCTCTTAAGAACAATGCAAAACCAGTAAATCCCTCTTGAGCAAGGGAGGGACAGGTTCAGACTTGTGCTTGGGAAAGGTATTTTAGTGCATCTGAGCTGAGAGGGACCCTGGAGATTACCCAGAAAATCAGAATTGTTTCCAGTACAGACAGGGAGACTGGTGTTAGGTGAAGGGAGACCATGAATCCCAGCCAGTGGGATGCTGATCCTTCTTAGCTCTGGCCAACCTTTTGTTCCCATAGCCCAAGCCCATAGTCTTGTTACCAGTACTCTGAAGGGACTAGGGAACTAGGTTAACTCGCTCTTTATTTTTCAGCTCCCACCTGCTTTTTGTCCACTTCCCAGTTAACAATCTATCAAGCTATTCTTYGTCCGTTTCTAAGTCTTACTGGTGAATCTGAACCAGTTCAATAGACTAAATGCCCTAAATATGAAGTTCTACCAAACTAGAATTTGATTGGATTTTAATATTTAACATTACTAAGACCTTATTCTGTGCTAGGTACTATGCTCTCAGTGTGTAATAACATTTCAAAATCTTTATAGCCACCCTGTGAGATGAGTGATTTAGCCCTATTTGCAGTCAAGGAAATTGAGACTCAGAGAAGAGTCTCAATCACACAGCTAGCTCATCAATAGTGGAGCTGGAGCTGGGTGCAGTGGAGCACATCTGTAATCCCAATGGCTTGGGAGGCTGAGGCGGGAGGCTCGAGTTCAAAGCCAGCTTCAGTAAAAGCAAGGCACTAAGCAACTCGGTGAGACCCTGTCTCTAAATAAAATACAAAATAAGGCTGGGGATGTGGCTTAGTGGTTGAGTGCCCCTGAGTTTAGCCCTGGTACCCCCCCCCCCAACAAAAATAGTAGAGCTGGAAATTTGTGGGGGGGTTGGGGAGGCGGTTTCTGGGGATCAAACCCATGGCCTTATATATGCTAGGTAGCACTCTACCACTGACCTCCATCTCCACCCTGAGCTGAAATTTTAAATAGTTGACCATTTTCTTCTAAAGCCCATTCTCCACATTCTGTTTCCATGCTTCTTAAAAGCAAAACACATTCGGTTGGTCACTAAGTAGGGGTCTCTGGAAATAACTGTGGAAGCCCATCGCTCAGACTTGTGACTAATTCCTTCTTCCACTCTCCCAGGCTTACCTGCGAGCTATTGATGTGAAGATCCTGCAGCAGCTGGTGACCTTGAACGAGGGCATTGAGGCAGTGCGTTGGCTGTTGGAGGAACGGGGGACACTGACCAGTCATTGCAGTAGCCTCACCAGCAGCCAATACAGCCTGACAGGCGGGAGCCCAGGCCGCTCAAGGCGGGGCAGCTGGGACAGCCTTCCAGACACCAGCTCTACTGACCGGCTGGACAGTGTCTCTATTGGCAGCTTCTTGGACACTGTGGCCCCCAGAGAGCTTGATGAACAGGGTCCCCCAGGGGCTCCCTGTCCTGAGATTGACTGGACAAAGGTTATACCTGGCGAGGAGAGGGCCAGGACTGAGGTGGACCTCACAGCCACCAGGCTAGAGAGCTTAATGTCTCTGAGGAAGCCTCCAGGGGAGGGGCTCCAAGGTGGACCATTGGAGCCACCAGAGGACGAGAGTGCCAAACTGGACTTTGAGGCCCACTGGTACTGGGGACAATGCCAAGATGATGTGACCTTCTTGTAACAACTTTCCCAACATTTTGTACTCCTATAGATCTTTCATCCCTTGGCCCTGGTCTCCCACAAAATTTATTCTCCCTCAGTCAAGGAGTAGGAATAGGATGCTCTGAAATCAATTACCATGAAAACCTGGCTCATCATAACTCTGGTCCTAGGGAGTCTCTACCTTTATCCCTCAATTACCAGGCCCCTAGAGCTATTTTCATAGAGAGGTTAACTACAGGTGGGTGTCTCCTGGTGTGAGGGTATTTCTATCCTCTCTCTCTGCCCCCCCCCATAAGGATTTATGACCCATAGGAGATCACTAATGAAGAAATTGGGATGTAATTACTTCATCTAAAGTCTAAAAGTCTTGCCACCTCTTGGTCAAGAAGACTGAGACATTCAGGGCCAACCCTTCCTGGATTAGCCCTCCCAGAATCCTTGGGAGTTGGTAGACCCTCCCCTTCCTACTGATGTCATTTCCTCCTAGGATGGACTGACTTTTTGTCTGTTTCAGTCTTTGGATGGTCAGTATAAGGGTGTCTGCGCCTCTGCTGCTAAGTGATATCATATCACTTCATAGCCTTACCATTACTTCGTGTGAATGGCAGCACATCACCCCTTCTGACAGGAAAGTTGCTCACTGGTGGATGTTTGTGCTGCTTTTTGGAATGTTCTTACCTTTTAAACAGGGAATTCTCMTTTTGTCCTAGGGGGTCTCACGCTCTCTATCTACATCCCTGTCTGGTGCAACACTTTTGTCTGTTTGCTTTCTGGGAGAGAAACTGTTAGGGCCTGCACCTAAGGCTCTGAGTCAGCTTGGCCCACTCTGCTACAGACCCCTGTCTTACCCAATCCCTGGGCTGCCCCATTCTAATTTTGACTCCATTTCTGCCTGCGGGGAGGTTCAGTTTCTGTGTCTCTACACCTTCTCAGTTTCCTTTTCAGGCCTCAGGCCTTTTATATGCAGATGAGTCCTAGCCTTCTCACCCAATGTTGGGAGCTGGGGAGAGTGAAGTTTGAGGCCCTCAGGGCTCTGGGGTAAAACCAGAATCTTGGAGGGTGGGGAGGTGTTATCTTCTCTGACTCTGTAATGCCCTTCCCCCACCCGGTCCAGCCTTCCACCATTTGGTCACAAGGATGAGGTTGGGATACAAGGAATTCCCTTGTCTGGGCCACAATGTGGGGGTGTGGCAGGAATAGACAGAGGCTCTTTGGTCTCTGGGCCCCATCTTGGGAGGTGGGCGGGAGCAAGGGAAAGTCCTCTTTTCTCCCTTAGAGCAAGCCCCCTTTACTCTTGGACCTAAGGAGGGAGCGGGGGACTGGCTCTGGGGCTGGATCTCAGGACCCTAGCTAATTACACCAAAGAAGGAATTCACTGAAGCTGCCAACCTGGGGCTCAGAGAAGGGACAGGCCCAGAGGCCAGGGGGGATAAGGACTATGGCTGATGTTTGAATGAATTCTTGGAGATTAACTCTTTGGATCCCAGGTGACTGCCCCATATGTTCTCCCCTGTTTTTTGTGGGCCCTAATCTAATTTGATTACTGGAGGGGCGGGGGGGGCGGGGAGGGAATAAAAGAGGGTCTTGGGATATTCAACGTGTCCTCCTGAGTTGGAGGAATCTTCACCAAACCTTGAAATAACTCCTGCCATTTTTCTACTTTTCAGTTTTTGTTGGGGAAGGGAAGGAAGGAAGCCAAGTCTCTATTTCCCTTAAAACTCCTCAGATGTTGTTCAGCAACCCCCACTCCCATCCTTCTGAGCAGTCCATGGCTAGCCCCTAAAGATCCTCTCTTCTCCTCTCCCTCAAAGTGAAAGAAATGTCCAAAGTATCCTCTCAGCCTCTTCTCTTCTTCCTACCAGACCTCTCTTTACTGCTCCTCAAGAACCTGGGGCTCCTGACCCCTTAAAGACTGGGAATTCCAATACTCTATTCCAGCCCCTTCTCCACAGTGTTCCCTTGAGTGACCAAAGTAACCACCCTTMCTCATGGATGTCATTATATTCCTTTTTACTTTTTCTGGGGGTGTGGGGTGTGTGTGGGGGTGTGCTTAGAGATGCTYGTGTGCTGGGCACTGAGCTATACCCCCCAGCCCCATTGCATTCCTTTTTGAGTCTCACTTCACTCACTTCATGTAGTAGTCAACCAACTTCTCAACTGAAGAGGTTGCCTGCCCTCTTGTGGCCTTTATGCACCATTGCCAGGGTGGCTGGGTGGAACCTCCAAGCTCAAATAACAGTGCAGCCTCCTAGAAGACCAGCCCTCKCAGTACACAGACAGGCTGGGGACCCAGGAATATATAGATTTGCCCAGCATAACCCTTTGTGAAACCTCCAAAGCCACACTGTTCCTAGTCAACACCTCCAAAGCCCAAAGGAACTGAAAGCAATTTCCTCTGATTATAATGTTTGACCCCTATTATGTCATCCCTAAAGAATCAGCTCCCCATCTTTAGAAAAAGGACTGCAGGCTCTGTAGAATAGAAGCTTGGCCTGGACATCAGTTAGGAAGAAAGCCAATCCCAGACCAATCATGAAAGAAAAGTAGGACCAGACATTGTGGGGGCAGAGCTCAGCATTTCAAACTTGTAGGTTACAAGTGGGGCTGGTGTGGGGAGCTGTGAAATTAGGAAAAACACATGGATCTTGCCGAGATTGGGGTATATCACAGGTCAGGGTATTATGTAAAAGTTGGGTAGGCACCTGAAAGTGTTGAAATGTTGGAGAGGTGAGGCTACCTGGGTAGTCCAGGTAGGTCTGGGCATCCTGTGTTAATACCTTAGACTCCAGTTCCCTACCAGAGAAAGGAGCCCCACTTGTCCTTCCTGTTTTTAGACTAGCTGGGTGAAACTCAGCTGGTCTATTACCCTAGACTTCTCTGGGTTTCAGGGAAGAGCTACTTGGAACCTCAAAGGAGAAGGGAGGAAAATGGTGAGAGATGTAGGAAAACTTAAGAATGAGCTGGGCACAGTGCCTATAATCCCAGCAACTCGGGAAGCTGACACAGAAGGATTGCAAGTTCAAGACCAGCCTCAGCAACTTAGTGAGACCTGTCTCAAAATTTAAAAAGGACTGGAGATGTGGTTCAGTGGTTAAGCACCTCTGGGTTCAATTCCCAGTACCAAAAAAAAAGGAAAACAGGGTGTCTAAAGTATGACTAGAAGAAGCATACTGTCCTCTGAGTACTCTAGGGGGCTTTTGCCAGGGATCAGGGTAAAGGTAGAAATGAAACTGCTCATGACAGCTACAGAGAGCACTTGAGAGGGTAAGGAGTGACACCAGAATGGGTCCATCAAGGGAACATTAAACCATGTGAGTGGACAGGTGTGAAGGCACCAGGCTGACTGGAAATTATGGCAGCTTTGGTGAGAAATACTTGGGGTTACAGTGGACACAAGCTAATTTGTACTTTTGGTGCCAGGCATGTACTGGGTATTCAGTTATACCTGTGTGCCTGTTCAAGGAAGAGAGGGATKAATGTGTGTAAATCCATAAGGAATGTGACTTACAAAACTAAAGTTAACTGATTGTTTATATTAGGTAATTGAAAACTTATTCTATTTAATTCTTAGCAACCCTATAAACAGTACATAGTTAACAATGTCTTGTTGCTTAGAAATATGCTCAAACTCAGATCCAATGAGCCATAATATAAAGTTGGGTCAGTATCACTTCCTACCCAAACCTCCACACTTAGTCTTAGGAGAATAGGTATTGCTGCTCAATAGTAAAGGCAGGTTCCTGTTGCTGTAATGAATCACCACAAGTTTAAKGGCTTAAAAACCATATCTATCTAGGCACTGTGGTACATGTCTGCAATCACAGTAACTCAGGAGGCTGAGGCAGGAGGATTGCAAGTTTGAGACCCCCAAGCAATTTGTTGAGTGAGACCCTATCTCAAAATAAAAAATTAAAAGGTCTGGGTATGTGGCTCAGTGGTTGAGTGCCCYTGGGTTCAATTCTGGTACTAAAAAGAAAGAGAACTTGTGATCCTCCTGCCTCAGCCTCCCAAGCCACTGGATTACAGGTGTGCACCACAAAGCCCAGCTGTACTGTTTTCTCTCTAGGACCATACTGTGCTCCTGCTTCTTCAGGCATGAGATAATTACACTCCTAATGAACTAACCTGGGTTCTAGAAGGGTAGATTATCTTCTTTTTAAATTATTTTTTATTCTTCAATAGTTTCTTTCTTTACTTTTCTTTCTTTTTTTTTTTTTTTTTTTGCAGTGCTGGGGATTGAACCCCAGACTTCACATGTGCTACACTGAGTCACAGCCCCAGCTCTTTTTCCTTAATAGTTCAGCTGGGCTCCTCAGAGCATGATGAATTCTCGTTGTTGTTGATACCAGGCCCCTCCTTTTCATTTTCTTTTTTGTGGTACTGGAAATTGAAYCCAGGGCCTCATGTATACTAGGCAAAGCACTCTACCACTGAATTTCATCACAGATCTTTTTCATTTTGAGATGAGAGTCTCACTGAGTCATCTAAGCCGACTTCAAATTCGGGATCYTATTACTTTAGCCTCCTGGGTAGCTGGGATTATAAGTATGCACCACTACGCTCAGCAACCTTTCTTGTTTTCTTTTGGTCCCTGATCCCTATGCTTGTTCCTCTCCCTGGTATAGGCATACACAAATGTGTCAGTGTATGTTTGGATATGTATGTATCTTTAAATATATGTAGTTATGTGCTTACATGTTTTAAAAATATATGAATGATATATTAAAAAGAATAAACTAGCTTCTATAATGAATTGCACCCATATTTCAGTGGCTTAACACAGTAAGAATTTATTTTTCACTTATCCCACATAGCACAGGTATTCCTGGCCTGACAGATCTCCCTGTCCATGTCAGAGGCCAAACTACTTCTGTTTTCAGATGGTGAGAGTATGATCTCTGTATCATAAAGTTTCTTGTCAACTTTTCACCACGTTGGTTTATTGTCTATTGATGATCATTCTATGAATTGGTTACTTCACTAGGGATTATATAACTGTGATTTGCTAATACTACTATTTAATTTCCACTTATTAGCTCTAATTCTGTACAGAAAAACTTTTCACAACTTCTGGGACTATTTGGTAACCCTAAAATAAAGTTCATACCAGAATGGAAAGAGAAATGCTTAA